CCCCCCCCCCAGTCCCCTACAGCCTGGGGAGAGCCCCCGGTCCCCACTTCTGTAGGGCACACTGCCCCCCTACATTGCTCCCTTACAGCCTAGGAGGAGCCCAGAGTCCCCACTTCTGTAGGGCACACTGCTCCCCCACCCGGCTCCCCTACAGCTCCGGGGGAGCCCAGGGTCCCCACTTCGGTAGGGCACACTGCTCCCCCACCCGGCTCCCCTACAGCTCCGGGGGAGCCCAGGGTCCCCACTTCTGCAGGGCTCACTGCTCCCCCACCCGGGGTCTGAGCCCCTCCTGCCTGTGTCCGCTGCCTGACCCCACAGCTCTCAGCTCGCTATCTTCTGGGCCTCCGCCCCTGGGCCTCAGCAGCCAGCGTGATCTAATCTCTCCTAAGTCTCCTTGGAGCCTCTCAGACAAAAGCCAGGCCCCTCCACAGCTTCAGCTCCAGGCCCACTCCCCCCGCTGCGGCCGTGGGACTCTGGCCTCCGCACTCCAGTCCCCCGTCCCCCTCCCACTCCCGCCCCCGGGGGCCCCAGGGAGCCCCTGATTCCCCACACCTGGTCCCATCACGTGGCACCTAAGCCCTGCACCCCTTGCAGGCCCCAGGCTGAGGGCTGTAGCCTCCCTCTGTGTGGAAGGTTGAGCCTGGGGTGCTCTCGGGGTTGTTGGGGATCGGGGGGCTGGGGTCCCTCCTCTCCACGAGCCCCAGCAGTCTCTCCAAATGGTGGGTGGGAAGGCAGCTCTGGGTCCCAGGCTGTGGGGTGGAGGGAAGGTGCCCCCCAGCACTTGGCAGCCTTGGGGGGGGCAGGAGGGTTCCTGGGAGGAAGAGACTGCCATTTTGTTCCCCTTGCAACGTGTCCACGCTGCCCGATGTGTTTGTGTTTCAGTGTTTTAGCCAATGTGTGGTGTTTCGGGGTGTGCATGGGTCTCTCCCACACAGGGGCCCTCTCCTGCCCCCCAGATCTGTCCCCCAAGCCCTGGGCTCGGTCCAGCAGGGTGCAGAGACCACACAGTGTCCGGGTTCTGGACGTGGGTGAGACCCCTGGGTTCACCCTATGGCCACGTGTCCCTGCCACCGAGCCCTGTGCAGGCCTGTGCTCAGCTCCCAGCACACGTGGCCCGGCCGCCCTGCACACACAGACACACATGTCCTCCATGAGCCCCACACTCAGGCCCACGTAGGCACACAGACCCACACTCCACGTGTGGGCCCAGGCCCCCCGCACCACGCGCACCACAGGCACACACGCACGGGACCTGCACGTGCGGATCACGGGGAGCAAGGTGAGGACGAGGCGGCAGGTCCAGCCCCCCAGCTCTGTTTACTGTTTTCCTGCCATCTCCCTGACAACGGCCCTGGGAGAGGCCAAGGCTCATCTGCTGAGAACATCCTCCCGGAGGCCCCTCCAAGGGTCACCCCCTGCTCCTGCCGCTGCACAGGACCCCCTGAGCCCCCCTCCTGGGCAGGGAGCTTGGGGGGGCAGAGTGAGAGTGCAGGGTAGGGGTCCCCCGGTGTCCCCCCGAAGCCCCACGCTGGGAGAAGCCACCCCAGCCACAGCCCCTGACCCAGCGAGCGGCCCCAGGACTGGGAGCCAGCGAGGCCCCTTCCCTCCCTCCGCCTCCTCCCCCCTCCAGCTGCCCCAGGATGTGAGTAATGCGGCCCCTCCTGGCCCCCTCCCATGACCTCAGCCCTCACTGATCCACAGCTGGGCTCAGTTCTGGGAACTGAGGTGGGGGTGGCTCTCTTGGGGTGGGGTGGGGGCCTCTGGCCTGGGAAAGGCGCCCCCGGCCAGAGGCCCAGACCCCTTGGCACGCTCAGCGGAGCTGTCAGGACGCTGGCGACAGCCGGCCGCCTGTGGCCCCAGCTCAGCCGCTGCAGCTGCAAGGGATTTGCTGTTCCTGAGCAGATGCAATTAGGCGATTTCCTGTGTCTGTTCTGGCTCCGCGCTTGAGGCCCAGGGTTCAGCCCGGGGGGCGCGGGAGTGGGGCTTGGCCCCCTCCCAGCGTGAGGCTCCACCGCGGGGGCCCAGCGCCACCCTGCCCCGCATGCGCAGACTGCAGCCGCGGGCTCACCGCTGGCTCTCTGCTCTGAGTGGGGGTCCTTGCATTCAGGGGCTGCCCCTGCTGGCAGGATCCATTGCCTACTGGCCCCCAACTCGAAGCACTGCCCCCCCTTCCTCCACAACCCCCAGTCCCCACGAACTGCTGACAGTGCCTGTCCTGGGCCAAGCCTGGCCCTCCCAGCTGTCCCACCCCCTTCCTCCCCTGCCCGCGGGCCCGTTCCAGAAGGGGCTTCAGGCCTTGGTCCTGTCTCGACTCTGCCCCCTGCAGGCGGCTAGTGGGCTGCCCCCTGTTTCTCAGCGGTGCCCACAGGCCAGCTCAGAGGCCTGGGGAGGGCTCGGACTTGGCTGAGGGATGGGGGCCACAGCGGGGACAGCCCAGCTAGGCCCATCGAGGGGGGACTTCTCCTTTAGGCCCACAGGGACCCTCCTGGCCACAAGGCCTCTGACACCGTGGGCAGGAGGTGGCCGGGGGACCTAAGGAGCTAGGCCGGGCCCCCCCTCCTTGTGCCCAGCCTCCCTGGGGTCTCACACTCCATGGCCGGGGTGGACCCTTGCAGAGTGACAGGCCGTGAGGGAAGGAAGGGACAGAGAGTGGAGGGAAATGACCCACTGAGAGGCCTTCCTGGGACTGGCACCCCATGCACCCGTCAGAGCAGGCTCCCAGGGCAGAGGGTGGGCCTCCTGGGGAGGAGAGGGAGGCAGCCCCGCCCCCACCGCTCAGAGGTGCCCCTCGCTGGCTGGGCAGTGCGGGGTCCTGGCCCCGGACGCGTGGTCTGCCGGGGTGCTGGCTGTCACTCATCACTACGGGGGCAGCTGGGGATGCAGCTGGGAGGGGGTGAGGGAGGCCGGAGCACAAAGAGCCCAGAGCCAGCTCCGAGCAGGTGGGTGGTAGGTGGGGTGCAGGAGGGAGAGGTTCCCCAGGGGGGGGCGTGGGCTCGCCTGCAGCTGCAGGGACCCACCCCCACCCCCTTGGCTTTGGTCCAGCAGCCTCCCCCATCCCAGCCCCTTTCTGAGAGTGCCCGTGCCTGGCTGGGCCAGGGGAGGCACCCCCGTCCTGGTGGTCACAGCCTCAGGAACCAGGGAGACACCTTACCGGGTTCCCCGCTGCCCAGGGAAGCCCAGGCGACCTTAGAGGGGCCTGAAAGCCAGGCAGTGGGTTGTGGGCAAAGGAGATGGGAAAACAAGAGCACTGGCAAGGAGGCCAGGGGCCTGCAGACCCCGGGGGACTGAGGCAGGTGGGGCAGCTGTGGGGAGATGGGCGGAGGTCCCACGTCCCCCCACTGCGTCCCCCCTTGGGGCAGAGCAGGCAGGGCCCAGGCCAGCACAGGCACCGTCAGGTTCGAGTCTGGAAGGAGGCCCAGCCGGGACGTGAAGGAGGAACAGGCCCACATGGTCCACCCATAGCTTGGGGAGCCCAAGGGAGGGGGTTTGGGAGAGGCACAGAGTTGAGCGTGGGGTGCATGGGGACCCCCGGGAGATGGTCAGCGGGGAGCGACTGCAGGCGAGGAGGGGCAGAGCTCTAGGGAGAGGGAGTCCATGGGAGCAGGGAAGGCCCAGAGCACCGACCGAGGCCCCTCTGCCTCCCTCTGTGGACTCCCTCCTCCCTCCGGAGGCCCCCAGGTCAGAGCCAAGGCCCGGCGGGCCCTGGACAGTCACATCC